TACAGACACCCCTAAGGAACCACTCCTGGAAATAATTGCTCTGATAAGGCCCCCAATGTGAGAGCATGCCAGCAAGCACCAACACAGAACAGACACTGAGCGCAGCTCCAGCCACCCTCAGAGCCGCACGGCCCAACCGCATGGAAAGGCGTCCCTCCCTCTGGCTCTGCCTTGCCCACAAACCCATGCAGGCCCCAACCCCCCAATCCCTCCCTTCTGCCCTTGGGAGTTACTAGGACAATGAACAGAAAATTTAAATAACTTAGAAAAGAAAAGACACCTTAAACACCCAGCTGGACAACTGGGGTCCTGGGCAAGAGGAGGGGCAGCTCACTCTGATGCTGGGGGCTTCCCCCTTTGGAGTTCGGGGCAGGAAGACCCTCCCCTTCCCCCCTTCCCAGGCTGGTGTCCATGGCAGGCCCCCAGCACCTCCAAAGCCAGTCTGGCTTCCCCGCCAAGCTCCCACGTGCCCGCCACTTACAGCCTTGCCAGGTCTGGCCCGAGGTGAGAAGCACCAGCTCCGAGTTGTCAGGGACACTCCAGAAGTAATCTCCGGTCAGCTCCGTGCCATCCTCATAGAGGCACAGGCGGGAGCCGGCGACAGGGAGCTGCGGAGAGGGAGGGCAGGGCAGGACGCTTCTGTGTTGGGTCTCAGGCAGGCCCACCCCGCGAGCAGTAACCTGAGGCCTTTCCGTCTGCAGTCCTCACAAACGTTTTAAAAGAATCAAGCGCGGGATGCTGTCCACATTCTACAGGTGGACGAACACCTGAGACAGTGCTGGGGTCTCAAGTACCCACGTGTCGAAACAGACACCTCCTGCAGGTCGTTCTAAAACACAAGTCGTGTAAAAATGTAGACACAGCGGGGACGACTTTGCAGAATTCACCACACAGACCTTTTCAACAGGAGCTCCTGAAGGGCACTGAAAATCCCAGCCTGTTGCAGAAAAGACGCCTGACCACTTCCACTAAGCCCATAGACACAACCCCATCAAGAGCACACATCCCCTGACTGGTGTGGAGACACACCCACTCAGCACACTCTGCATCCTAGTCGATGATTTATTAAGGAGAACATCTTACTGAAAAGGACTCATGGCCTCTGGCTGACAAGGCGTAACCAGCATGCGGTACCACTAGTCCGCTAACACTTGCTGGACACTGATCAGCTTTATGGACGTTGATGGCAACTCCGCGCGCACCTGCACCCCACACATACACACACCCACAACCCACGCTGCTCCAAGTCCAAGTCCAGCCAAGAAAACAAATGCAGTAAGAATCCAGTAGGAATGATGACTGGAATCGCTGGAACAATAGTGCTAGAAGGGCCTTTCGTGGGCCTCTTAGCTCGTCTTTCATTTTACAGAAGGGGGAAACTGAGGCCCAGAGAGGCCACAGGGCTGTGTCCTGGAGCACACAGCAAATTAGCAGACGTGCGCTAGAACCGGAGTCCCAGCATCTCAGGCCAGAGCTGCAGCGATCCTCGTGGTCAGAAGAGGGAGGAGTTGTCCCAGAACCCCTCCACACAGTCCCGCTGAATGGGGCTCAGTAACTAGAGGAAGAAGTTAGAGGCGGCGCCCGGTCCCCGGACCCTGGCCACGGGCAGCTGCACGTGGAGGCACCCGGTCCTCCCACTCCCACCCCGCGCCAGGCACCTGAAAGTGGAGGCACCCCTTCTGCAGCACCTCCTGGCAGCTCCACCCCGCCACCCCAAACTTCTTCTGGCTGTGCAGAGCCCGCAGCCTGAACGTCTTGGGCTTCCGGAACACGGCAAACATCCTCAGGGCCTCCGACCCCGCCGGCGGCACCTGCTTGGCGGACCGCTCAGGCGGGTCCTCGCCCAGGCCGCAGAGATCAGCTGAGCGGCGAGGGTGCTGCGCCCTGCGGGCCCTGCTGCGGGGACCAAAGTCGCGCGGAGTGCCCCGGAAACTCCATTACCCAGAAGGCCCGGGGAAGCGGAGGCGTGGCCCCGCCTTGTGCGCAGGCGCTGTGCCCCAGAGACTCCATTACCCAGAAGGCCGAGGGAAGCGGAGGCGCGGCCCCGCCTTGTGCGCAGGCGCTGTGCCCCAGAAACTCCATTACCCAGAAGGCCCAGGGAAGCGGAGGCGCGGCCCCGCCTTGTGCGCAGGCGCTGTGCCCCAGAGACTCCATTACCCAGAGGCCCGGGGAAGCGGAGGCACTGCCCCGCCTTGTACGCAGGCGCGGCCTGGCCCGGCCGGCCTGGTTGTCATGAGAGCCGCGGCCGCGGCCCTGGCGCTGGGCGCAGGAGGCCGGGGCTGCTCCTCGGCGGCCACCGCCGCTGCGGCTCGGGGGTGCGGACCGGCCGTGGACGGCGGAGGAGGCGCCACCTGAGCTCCGCAAGGCGCTGCCGAGGGGAGGCGGAGGGCCCTGGGGACCGTGCAGGCGCCGAGGTCCGGGCGGGCCTTCGGTCCTGACAGGTACCCCGAACCCCGACAACGCGCGGACCGGGGATGCGGGGCCTGGCGGATGTGGGTGTGGGCGCGGCCGGGAGAGTCGGGGGCCGGGGGCTGGGCCCAGGGCGCGGGGCCTGCCGGGGTGGGCGCGATCTAGGGGCGGGGGATCCGGCCGGGGGCGGGGAGCTAGTACGGAGGGCGCCCCTGCCGCGGTGGGCGCTGCCCGCCACAGCCCAAGGTCGGGTCGGCGGTGGCCTCCAGCCCGCGCCGGACTTAGCGTCGGGTACACTCCGCACGACCGGACCTCCCTGTTCTGGGCGCACAGATGACCCAGAACCCGACCTGAGCCGGGGGAAGAATGTGGCTCCGCCCCTGTGCGGGTTCCGCGCGTCTCTCCACCCCCTACCCCCACTTTGGTACCTATTCAATTTCGGACAGGCTCTGTGGCACTTTCAGTCTTTAAGATTACTTGACCAAAAATTATTTACTCGTGTAACATTTAGGTTTTCATAAAAAGAAAAAGTGGAAACAAGGTTTGTCTCCTAGTCTTGTAGCAAAATTTGGGAAGTCGCTGAATTGTTGCGGTTTAATTCATAGATGTCAACGATCCTGATTCGTCCCTGGAAAGGTACATATTGCTAGACTTGGTGAAGGAACCCCCGAGCCACCTTGGGCCACGCAGGCCGCTAGCGTAGCACGGAAGCCGCGGTCAGCAGTTGCCGCTTGGGGGCCTGCACGCTAATAGCTGAGTATTCAACAGAGCCTTGATTTTTCCCAGAATGTTAGTGGTGATTTTTGTAGTGTAATGGTAGCATCCTTTAGTGACACCGCAAGTATCATGTAACACTCTGGAGGGTTTCCTCAAAGAGGACGCTCGGGTACAAGGTGGAAGAGCTTTGGAAGAGGGTAGCCAAAAAGGAATCCTTTTCAACTACTTAAAGTGAGGTAATAATGTTGTCTCTACAGTGCCCAAGCACGTCTCCTACCTGGTTCCTAAATGCCAGTACTTTGTTTTGGATATTTGAGGCAATATAGTATATGGACACAACCTTTGTTTGGACTTCAAAGGTCCTATTTTAAGGCTTAGAACCTTAGCTAAAGAGGGTTTTGGTGAAGATCAGGGACTCTGGAACCCAACCAGCTAAAAACACTCTGGCTCCGTGGCTTACTAGCCGTATAACTTTGAGCAAGGGCCTCTCTGTACCTCAGTTTCCATATCTCTAAAGTTGTGTGACAACAAACCTATATCACAGTTGTTACGAAGGTGTAAGTGTGTATCTAGGGCTGAGGACAGTCCTTGGCACACAATAAGTGCTGTAGAGGTAGTGTCCATCTGCAGGCAAGAGTACTATGTAAAGGAATACGTGTCTAAATACAAGAGGGGCAATATAAATGGTATTTCAGATTTTAGAATTTCGAGATATATTCACATTCAGTTGAAAATATCTAATAAGGGCCCCTGGGTGGCTTGTCGGTTAAGTGTCTGCCTTCGGCTCAGGTCATGATCCCAGGGTCCTGGGATCGAGCCCCGCATTGGGCTCCCTGCTCCGCGGGAAGCCTGCTTCTCCCTCTCCCACTCCCCCTGCTTGTGTTCCCTCTCTCTGTCTCTCTCTCTCTGTCAAATAAATAAATAAAATCTTAAAAAAATATGTTTAATAGATGCCTACCAATTTCAAGGTGGAATAGAAGTAACGGGCCCTGCTCTTAAAGCCTTTATGATTGAAGGACTTGAGAAATTCAGAGCAGGGAGCTAGAACTAAGCTTTAGTTAAGTTTGGCTGGACTTCAGAATTCGAACAGCAGATTGGGTCAGGACACAGTTGACCCTTCACCCCTGGACAGGGAGTACATCAAGAGCTCTGAGATTGGGACACAGATACTGATGACCCCAGTTGGACTTGAGAAGGAACACAGGACAACTGGGGGGAGTGCTCCAGGTGGGGAGACCTGGCTACAGTCCGTGGTCATCCTCTATAAAAGACAGTGGGGTGGAAAAGAGTGGATTCAATCATAGTCAGTCATCTGAAAGGCAGGATCAATGAGACTTGGCACGTGATGGATGGGAGTGGGGAGGAGGAGGTGCAGGGTAAGTCCAGGCTGAAAGCCCAAGCTCGTGGGAGGAGCTGCAGGGTACGGAGGACAAATCCCATTCCTGGTGGGAGCACAGGTGGGGTTCTGCATCACACCTGCATACAATCACCCTCAGTGTTGGTGCTTGCTGTTTTATTCTCTGAGTGGGTTTACTTTAGTGTTCCTCTGATGTACTGTGGCATCCTTCAGCGAGCTTGTGTCAGAAATTACAATCTTTAATAATGGTTTATTTATTCTGTTACTAATGCTTTTGTTCATATATTCGAAGAAGCATTGGCAAGTACCAACCAATAATTATTGATGTAGGTCATTTGAGGTTCTGAATGAAAGTAAAAGATCTAGATCATGCATCAAGCATATTAAAATAAGCAAAATCATGCAGAATATGTTTATGTTACCTTCTATTCAGGATTACAACTGAGAGAATGTCCTATCTCAGAGAACCTTTTGGAGAATTCTTTATTTTCTATCTTAGTGAGGGGGAGTTTGACTGGCTCAGGAACTGGAAATAACCAGAAGTTTATGAGTAGTTTGGGCCTTAAATGTGGCTGAACCTCAGGGTTCCCAAGGTGGCTGTTTTCCCGTGTCAGCCTGCTCTTTGGCAGGACCTCCCCACCGGTGGCCGCCAGTAACCTCCCAGAAATATTCTATGGCTACAGCCCCAACAAGAAGGCTTCTCTTTCCCCGTAGCCCCGGCAGAGTCCAGGGATAGACCACACTGGTCCCGTTTGGGTCCTGCTCTGGTGTTCCCATCCCTAAACCAGCTGCCGAGGAGGGACGTGGAACCCACAGACTGACCAAGCCCGGGAGCGGTGCAGGCAGAAACTGCAGCTGAGGTGCTGTTCTCAAACCAGGACAGGATGGATGCTGAGCAGGCAAAACCAGACATCACAACATCCATCCTCAAAATGATATTCAACTATGAACAGTTTACCAAACAATGACAAAAAATTTCATCCAACCAATATATAAATATCTCAAGCAGGCCCCAGGTGCACATCTCCACCCCTGGCGTATATCTCCCAAAGTCCTGCCCTCCCTGCTCGAGCCATGCATTTGCGTTCAGCAGTTACCATGCTGTTGATTAAACTGTCCCTTTTCCCCTTATTTTTGTATACCTTATTAGCATACTGATTATATTAGTTTCTTAGTAATTATAAAAAAAAAAAACTTGGTGTTTGTATCTTAACAAAACTCTTTGGTTTTGCCATAACAAAGTGCCACAAAGTGGATGACTTCGAACAACAAAAATGTACTCTGGAGGCTAGAAACCCACAGTCAAGGTGTCAGCAGGGCCATGCTCTTTGTAAAGGCTCCATGGGAGGATCATTCCTGCCTCTTCCAACCGTCTGGTGCTGACAGCAATCCTTGGCATTCCTGGGCTGGTCTCCTTGTCTGTGTGCCTGTCTGTGTCCCTCAGATGGACACCAGTGCTTTCGTATCAGGGCCCACCTACTCCAGCACGACCTCGTCTTCACCCCATTACATCTGCAAAGACCCTATTTCCAATAAAGCTCATATTCACGGGTACCGGGAGTTAGGACTTCATCCTCTTTTTGGGGGGAAACCAACCCACAACACTGGTCAAATTTTTAGGACATATATTTGGAAAAAGTCAAGATAAATGGTACCTTAAATAGAGTTAGAGGCTCCTAGGAGAAACACTTAACAAAAAAACCTGGATTTTTTCAAAGTGATGGGAAAATTCTGATACCTTGTGAATTATTTTGTCTATGAGCAAGGCATGAGCTAACATGTTCAATGTTGTAAAATGTTACCAAGTTCCTTTATCTTACTTAAAGTCTTTCCTGCCCTATAAACAGCCCAGCGCCCAGGATGCCCCACAAGATTGGCTTCGTTGTCGTCAGCTCATCTGGACATGAAGATGGCTTCAGTGCCCGGGAACTGATGATTCACGCACCAACCGTCAGCGGGTGGAGGTCACCGAGGTGGGCCAGGCTGGGGCCGTGGGCTGCCTTCATTTGATGCTTCTGCTTTGTATTACCACTCAGGCCTCAGAACCACGCACCTTCTGTGCAGTGATGGGATGTCGTTTCCTTCTTGTTATGTTTTTAAAGAAAACTTGTTGGACCTTTTTCCCTGAAAGCATTAACCGACGTTCACTTAAGAAATGTGTACCGAGGAGGGGGAGGAGAGGGCCCGCGCAGTGTTGTTTAGCTGTCTTCCCTGGCCGCCCGCTGGGCCTCCCATCCCCACCCGTGCTCTGTGCCGAGCTCCTTAGTTTCACAGCTGTGCTCCTGTGGGTAAGATTTTTGTGAACCCCAAACTTTAACCAAGAGCACCTCTTTCAAAATGATTATCTTGAATATTTGTACACCTTTAAAAATGCCCATTACTTGCATAACATAACAGTAGTTAGTATTTTTCTGAAACTAAGCCTTTTCCTGAGAGGTCTTCAGTGTTCACCAAAGATAGAGTCGTAAGGGGTCAGGAGCCCAAGCGCCTGATCAAGCTTCTTGCCCGTGAGGCTGGCCCCCCACCCCGGCGCGCCCCCTCTCAGTGTCCCTGCCTCTCACGCTCCCCACCGTCCTGTCACCTCTTGGTACCCCTGAAGGACAGCTTTGATGCATGCTTGAGTTCTGTAAACTACATTTGAATAACACAGTCCTAGGCCCATCTTCTGAAGGATTTTCAAAAAACATACACTTCCAAATTTTGTCCATTGTCTTTTCTTTAAACCACTCCGGAGGGGTTTTTTTCATGGTCGATCACTAAGTGTCCTTATGCCTGGAGTGACCTCACCAGCGGTCATAACCTACATGCTCGGCATTTGAGAGCAGTAAATATCTTACACACCTGGAGCCACGCTCGACCGCCGTGGGGGACTGAGGAGTGTCCGTGTCGCAAGCCTGTCCTCGCTGCCCTCCTGCCCCGAGTGCACCTCTCTTACGAGCTTTTCATCTCTGAAGACTGGGCGACTGCGCCTCCGAGCTGAGAGTCCATCTGATCTGAGCCCACCCGCCCCTCCTCAGCGCACACCCTCCCCCCAGCACCCCTGCACACCCCCCGCAGTTAGACACAGATTGCCGTGCGCTCTCCCTTCCCCGTTACTATCGTGCTGCCGTGAGGCCGGGCAGTCGGTCCGCAGCAGGGGGTGAACAGGGCCCCGGGGGCGGCAGTGCCTCCCGCTGGTGGCAGAGCAGGGGGACGAGGAGATGGGCCCCGAGGGATCGGGGAGGGTGGCTGGGGTCAGGAGTTCGTTTTGTCTGTCATATGTAATGCCTGTCAGGCGTCTGCAGGGAGATGTCACGTCACCAGCTGGAGCATAGGCTTGGACTTGGGGTGATATCTAGTTGGGGTTCCTTGACAAGTGGGAGGTTTTTAAAGCCAGGGTCTGATAGGCTCCCCAGTGGTGAATGTAGGGAGAGGAAGGAGCCTGGACCCCAGCCAGGGGCAGTGCAGGCCTGGACAGAGGGGAGGGCACCCGACAGTCATCCGGGCTCAGGCCTGTGGGCTGGGTGAAGCCGGGACCAGGAGGTACACTTGTACGCAACGTCAGGGGGCTCAGCGGTGGCCGTGGTGAGAGTAAGCTGTGGAAATACGGGCCAAGCGCCCCGGAGGGGGAGAGGTGCGAGAGAGGGCTGTGCTGGCGTGGGAGCCAAGGAGGATGTGGGGTCACAGGGGGGGTTTCTTAAAATGGGGGGTTCTAGAGTGTGTGTGTGTGTGTGTGTGTGTTGATGGGAGTGATTGGGGAAAGAAAAGCCTGGGTGGGGGCAGGCAGGCTCTGGTGCCATTCAGGGGAGTGAGTGGGGGATGGGGCACCAGCAGGGATGCTGCTCCTTTCGGGGAGCAGTCCCATTTGAGGCCTGTTTTCTCAGTGGAGTAGGGGGCTGCCGGGAGAGGTGGCAGGGGGTTGGAGCATGGCCAGTGGGCAGGAGTGGGCTCACCCACAAGGCCGCCGGGCCCTTTCCAGCTCTTCCATCCTTGGCTGCTTCCCTCTCCCAGGGCCTTCGACGCCCCACTCTTGTAGTAACCCAGCGCTTGCCAGCTCAGCGTACATAGTATCCGCGGTCTGAACACTGTGCTCTGTTGCTCGGTCATGATCAGATCCTGCAGCCGCGGTTCTCCAACCCGTTCTCATGTAGGTGGTTAATGTGCTCTGTCACTTAGGAGGCAAAAACTAGAAGCTTCCCTGTGGACAGTCGTAGGCCTCTCCTGCAGACCACTGAGCGTGCATGGTAGGCACTCATCACTCGGATTCCCTGAGCAGGGGGCTTTCCTAAAGCATTTGGGTTCCTGGGCAGAATCCTTTGGCTCTGTCTTTCCCATCAGTACAGCCTCTTAAGATTGATGTTTTTATCTTGTGTTGAACTTCATTTGAAACCGTTTCATTTCAAACCATTTTCCAGTTGCCAGAAGCATCGGGTGGCAGTCCGAACTGCAGCTTCAGCTCCACCGAGCCTGGGGCGCTGGCGCCAGCCCCTGCAAACCACCTCGATGCGTGCGGGCTGCCATGCACACAGCCGGGAACCCTCGCAGTAACTGTGTGACAGACACACGTGTTTGCTTTCAGATTTTGCCAGTTTCCACAAGAAATCGTCCTTCAGATGGTGGAGAGGTGTCGAATCAGGAAGCTGCAGCTGCTTGCCCACCAGTACATGATCCCAAGTAAAGTGGAGTTCTACATCAGCGAGAGCCTGCCCGAGTACTTTGTGCCCTACCAGGCGGAGCGGTTCCGGAGACTTGGGTAAGGGTGAGAGCGAAGGCTCGTGACGGGAACTTTTGGCCCGACTCTCCCTGTGTCCGAGCGGTGGGAACACAGGGCCCGCCCTGCTCCCGGCGCTGGTCAGACTTCGTGGGGGTCAGGTGCGCTGCCTCTGAGCGGAGACGTGCTCGGTAAGCAGTACTGTTGGGGTGTCAGCACCATTCGCCTCTGCTCCTCAGATGCACAACTTGTTTCAAGAGAACGGGTTAGAATACCGTTCCTGGGCTTTTCCCAAGGTTTTTCCATTCTAGACTTGACTTGGACCAAAACCCGTTGAGTTCAGTTTTGCTGCGCACACGTTTTCTGTCGGCATGATTCCGGCGTGTGCTCTCCCTTTCAGCTACATCTCTCTCTGTGACAATGAGAAGACAGGCTGCAAAGCCCGGGAGCTGAAGTCCGTCTACGTGGATGCAGTAGGACAGTTCCTGAAGCTGATTTTTCACGAGAACCACGTCAACAAGTACAACATATACAATCAGGTGAGATGCGCGCCCTCACCTTGACTGCTCCCCACCTCCTCACAGCATCCCAGGACCCTGCGCCCCTTGGCAAAGGCATTTCAAATCTTTTTTTAAGATGGTAACTTTTATGGCAGAACGTTAAGCTCTCTGGGAGCCGTGCGGTGCGATCAGGAGCCACCACCCCACACAGCGGGAGCGCGCTGGGCACCTGGCCAACCCAAGTGTGATGGGCCGCTCGGGCTAACTGGACACTCCAACTCAGAGGCTTTGTGTGAGGAAAAGAATCAGTTAAGCAGTGAAATGATAATATTGTGGTGATGTTAGGTTTAAAAATCAATGTCATCTGCTGCTTTTTATAATTTTTTTTACTGTGTCCACTAGAAAATTTTTAAAATTATCTACCTGGCTTGTGTTGTTTCTGTTAGGTGACACTCTTTCTAGATAAACCCGCTAAACTTTTGCAGGATAAATCCCCTGGTAGGACTTGGGGATGTGATTTCAAGTCCTCATTCTCATCTCTCCCTCCCTCCCGTCCCATCTTTCTGTTCCTTTTTCTTGTCTTTTCTTTTAGTTTTGTTTTTGGCGTGATTCATGTAGTAAAAATCAGTTGTGTCCAAAGCAGACTCTTCATTAGCATGTATATTGACAACACTCCCCACCCCCTCTAAGAGGAGTGGAACATTCCACCAAATCAGAGTTTTATACCCAGCAGGTGAGTTGAGGAGAGCTCTGAGATGTAGTTCCGTGGCTGGGTCCACCACAGCAGTGCTTGACCGTGAACCTGAAGATTGATCGCTAACCTCTTTCTACGTCGGCCCCACCAGTAAAACCCCCTCACTTAGTTCCACCGCAGTGATGCTCAAGGGAGAGAGGGTGTGGGAAGGGGAGTGCTCCGCCTTCAGGGGGAGCCACAGACCCAGACAAACTGAGCTGTGTTAACACAGGCCTTCAGTCCATTGTCCCGTTTACCAAGATTGAATAGATGGGTCTCCGTACTGGACTATGAGGGGAGGGTTCGATGTGATGCTGTGTTAAAACTGTGGAGGCTTTTAGCCGTTATTGTCTTAATGTACTTTAGACGTTAAAATAACCATTTGATTAGGCATTAGAATATTAACTTACATAATTTACAAAAACTATAATAATAATTCTATAGCTTGACATTTTACAATTAATGTGCTTTGGTGTACATCGTCCCATTTGATGACAGTATGAGCAAGCAGTTTATAATAAAGGGGGGAAGTCATCACAAACATTTTATACTTAATTTCGATTGGTTAACTCTTTCTTAGGTTGCTCTGGTTGCAGTAAATATCATTGGAGACCCTGCAGATTTCGGTGATGAAAGCAATATTGTAAGTTTGAGACGTTTCATTCTTAAAGAAGAAAATGTATTTCTAATGAGGGGATTGATTATTTTTGTCACAAAAAGTGTCATCTTGAAAATCTTTATAAAATTGTTGAATAATTAGCAGATAATTTTTAGCAGCTGTAGTGTATTAAACTTTCTTTTACTCAAGAATTTTAACTGTCTCTCCAAAAGACTAAGATTCTCAAAGCCTGCTGACATCTATGTATCATGCCACCTCTTAGTTAAGGCTTCGTGTTGTTCCTGTTTTCCTCTGAGACACTAACCAGAACTTTTTGCTCCCGAAGACCTCTAGAGAGAAGCTGATTGATCATTATCTGGGGCACAACAGTGAGGACCCAGCTCTGGAAGGAACTTGTACTGGGTAAGAATCCTCCCCACAAGGCCATCAGCTCCTAGACTCCCCTCAGAATTGCCAAAGTGTGAGTCAGCTCTAGAGGATTGGGGGTTCGAGAGCCTCTAAATTCAGTTCTGAGCTAGTTAAGCCACTAATGGGATTGACTTAAATACACTTAAAGATTAAGGTCACTGTTTTACTTAGCACATCTTCAATTATTGCCCTTTGGAGACCGCTCTATTTCTTGTGTGTTCAGGTATTACTAGAAAGTTCCTACATGCAGGTAAAAGATCTGTCGGCCATCCTTTGATATTTTATTGGCACAGACAACTTTGTAGGTAAGAATTAAAGGAATTAATTGACCCAGATTATCAGTTACTAGAGCCTTCATCTTATGTCTGCTTTAAGCCCTCCCCACTCTCGTCCACCCCCGTGATGGTGTGGCTCCCACCTCCCTCAGCCTGGGGCCCTCGTGAAGCCCAGGCTGCAGGTCCAGGGGAGGCTCCACCAGAAGCAAGGCTCACTGTCCACTGGTGCGCACATTTAGCACAGCAAGTGGCTCCTGAGTGACCGCAGAGAGACTCTCTCCATATTTTATGCAAGCACAAGAGCCCGGCTTAAGAATGAAGAACTTTCTCATTGCTTTGGACTGCCTTGCTTCCTGTCGAGCCTCCCTGGGCCTCCAGCCTGGCTGTCACGGGGTGGATGTCAGTAGGGAGTGCTTAGAAAGTAAAGGCAGTCCGGGCGCCTGGGTGGCTCAGATGGTTAAGCGTCTGCCTTCAGCTCAGGTCATGATCCCGGGGTCCTGGGATCGAGTCCCGCATCGGGCTCCCTGCTCCTTGGGAGCCTGCTTCTCCCTCTACCTCTCTCTCTCTCTCTCTCTCTCTCTCTCTCTCTGTCTCTCATGAATAAATAAATAAAATCTTTAAAAAAAAAAAAAAAGAAAAGAAAGGCAGTCCCTTAATGTGTATGAAATAGTGGGGAAAGTGACCTCTCCCCTACGCAGCCCGTCGGTCTCCCGCAGACTCTCCCTGTGCCTGACAGTAACAGCAGTGCCCTCCTTACCTCTCCAGGTGGGGACTGCCACACTGTCCCTCCCTGTCCGTCGGCACCAACCCCGGGTCAGCTCTTTGGCTCTGCCCTCAGTGAAGCTCCAGCTGGTAGAACATGGGCAGCCAATCCCACTGGTCGGTTTTAGGATCTCCCATAGAAGTTCTTTGGGTTATTTGGACTCTGTTTAAACCAGTTCTTTATCAAGTTAGCCACTTGGACTGGCAGACCACGGTTTGTCTATCCTGACTCATCTGCAGGGCTTTCCTGAGGGTAAAGAGAGAGCAGTCTGTGGAAGGCCGTGTGCTGGGCTGAGCCAGGGTCACCGCTGGGGGGCGGTCGTGGGCAGGGCGAGACCGGCTCTTAGGAAGCTGCCCACACACAGCCCTGGAGCTGTGACTCCCACGCCAGGTAACGTCATGTGTTTCTTTGTAGCATTTTCATAATAAATTCTTTGTTTTCATCTCCAGGACTTCAAGGCAAAGTAACTTTGACTTAAAAGTATAGTATGTATTTAGGTAAAAATAGTTAACCTTGTGCTAGTACCAAAGCGTGTTGCTGTTTGGTCCTCACTGAGATTAATTGATATTGTTCAAAGCTGCCGAAGCTGAGCCAACCCCCAGGCCCGGTGGGGGTGCTGTAAGCAAACAGCCTGATTTCCAGGAGTCGGGAAGTGTTAGGGGGATGTTTGATCGTTCTGAAAAGTGATGTCATCACGTGTCCTGTTTCAATTTATTATTAGACAATGAAATTTTTTATGATAAGAAATATTTTCATTAAAATTTACCTGTATAGGGCGCCTGGGTGGCTCCGTTGGTTAAGTGACTGCCTTCGGCTCAGGTCATGATCCTGGAGTCCCAGGATCGAGTCCCACATCGGGCTCCCTGCTCAGCGGGGAGTCTGCTTCTCCCTTTGACCCTCTTCCCTCTCGTGCTCTCTATCTCTCATTCTCTCTCTCTCCAATAAATGAATAAAATCTTAAAAAAAATAAATAAATAAAATTTACCTGTATATAAAAATACCTAAGTCAAAGCTAACACCTGGCTTATTTTATGGAGCTGATACGGCAGACAGAGACTTTGAAATGTGTCCTCTGCCAGCATTTTTGTTGAGTGGTTAGGCATTATTCTAAGTGTTAGACCCAGGACAAAGCTGCCAGCCTGCTGTAGAATTTGAAAGAAAGAATGAAGTGGTAATCAGGAATGGGTTACTCAGATCACTACAGAGATCTTTTATTCCTGGAAGGATTGTTCTGATCTACCCAGGACTTGGGATATCATGCAGCCTGACCCTGTGAGCTGAGGCCCCGGCATAGCCCGTCTGCATCTTTAGTGCTTGTCGTGCTCACTGTGGTGCTGGTGTCGAATGTGGACACCTGGACCACCTGGGACCCACCAAGTCAGCCTCTCTACAGATGGGGCCTGGCAGTCTGCTTTGGCTTGGGCTTCCCCTAGTCTACAAATGATTCACAGGCACTGTTACGTCCCCGGTGCCCAGAACAGAGCTGGGCACAGAGTCCACACTCAAAATATTTGTGGAAGAACCAATGCACCAAAGGCTCAGATGCCCCCAGTACAGTTTCAGTAATGGGCCGGGGCACGAGCTACGCAGTCAGAGAGACCTGCCTGCACGTAAGAGCTGGGTGACCTGAAGCCCATCCCCGATTTTTCTGAGCCTCCACTTTCTCCGGCAAGAATGCTCCAGGAGCAGGTGTGGGGGGTGCCATTGCTGCACCCGTACCTCCATCATGAGCCCCTAGGGCTCCCTCTGCCACCACGCTGTCACCTACGGCAAAGTCAGCTCTAAAATATTCATTTCTCTCCTTTAGGAAATCTGACTATATTTCTCCACTAGATGACTTAGCTTTTGATATGTACCAAGATCCAGAAGTTGCCCAGATTATACGTAAATTAGATGAAAGAAAACGTGAAGCTGTCCAAAAGGAACGTTACGACTATGCCAAGAAGCTAAAACAAGCTATTGCTGATTTGCAAAAGGTACTGCTCCTGGAGAGAACAGTCCTCCCTCAAGTGTGTGAGAAGGCAGGCAGTGGTCCTGACCCTGGTACAGCCAAGGCGTAGGCCACTAAAAGCTATGGGTAGTAGTGTGGGTCCAAGGGGGTAAGCAAAATAAAGTTACGGACAGATGAGCCCCTAAATAAAATGTAAATGAAGGCACACCCTCAGCCTCTTCAGACGTCATCCTCAGACGCCACATTGCCGCCCTAAAGTGGTAGAAAAACATAAGATGCTTACCGTCCCTGTGGATTCATGCAGTTGCTTAGCCGCCCCCGCGTGGCCCAGCTTGGCCCCTCCTCCGAGCAGGCTACGCGGGCAGCAGCCCTGTCACCCAGGCCTCGCTTTGCACTGGCTGGGGGTGGGTGCACATCTGAAGCAGGGCGCCCTCGTGTGCTTCAGGTCGGAGAGCGGCTCGGGCGGTACGAGGTGGAGAAGCGCTGTGCGGTGGAGAAGGAGGACTACGACCTGGCCAAGGAGAAGAAGCAGCAGATGGAGCAGTTCCGAAGCCAGGTGTATGAGCAGCTGCAGCTACACAGCCTGGTGGACCCCGAGCCGGTAGGTGCCCGGGCAGCGGTCCTTGGGGCCGCGGAGACGCCCCACAGCGCCCGTGTGTCCGCAGTGCATGTGTGCCGTGCACATGGCTCCGTCACACGCAGGTGCCGGTTCAGACAGGTGGCGTCAGCTGTGGGGCCTGCTGCTGGACACGCTTGCAGGCAGATCAGGGCCGAGGAGAGAGTGGATCTCGCCCCTCCTCCCCGGCTCGGCTTCCCCGTTTGTACAATGAACTGAAGGCAGCGCTGCCCCACGTTCGCCCCATGATGGCCTCAGGAGGGTCGTGTGCCGTTAATCCTAACGGCCTCGGCTTGTCGAGACCGTGTGTCCTGGGAGACGTTCCGCCGCTCACCTTTAGCACCCCACAGGTAGCTGGTGCTCACCCCATGTGGCAGAGTCATGCAGGGCAGTGCAGACTCCGGAGCCTCACTGCATGGGCTCTGACCTGGCCCCCTTGCTGGCGGTGGGATCTCCGGGTCATTCCTTAGCCACTCTGCCTCAGTTTCTATCTCCCGTTATGGGGTAAAAGTGGTGTGCATTAAATGAGAGCGTCTGTCCAGCACGCTTACCGCCATGACCCACAGTAACTATGTCGTGATGACACAAAACAGCCTGCTTTTGCAGCCACAGGCTACACGGCCACGCCAGGGTTGGGGTCCCGCCCAGGTGCTTCCTACCCTATGCGCCGTGTCTTTGCTGGCAGGTACGTGTGCGTGTTTCCACGCTGGGTGACCCAGGCGCTGTGCTTGCTGTCACGCAGGCGCTCCGGTGTGCTCTGTGGGGCACATGGCCACCATGGAGGGGCAGTGGAAAGGCTGGGACAGGACCGGGGACACCGTTGATGCAGATTGTCTCTCCGCCTTCCTAAATGGCCGCGCTCCCCCCGCCCTCCCTCTAGAATGGTGTGGCAACAGCACTGGGAGTGCAGTGTCCCATTTTTCCCCAGGTGCGAAGGCCTTCCGACCTGCCCCTCCAGCCCCTTGCCCACTCTGCCAGTCCTCGCCACCAACAGCCGGTGCCGTCCCTCCCGCAAGAAGACAGGGCGCCAGAAAGCTGGTTTGCAGAGCCTTTCCCTCAGGAGAAGCCTCCAGCGCATGCCCTGGGCCCTTCTCAGCACTCCACAGTGGACCTGTCACCGCGCGCCACAGACCTTCATCTCAAGACCCATGTAGGTAACTCGGTTTCAGATTGTGTGCGGTTTATTCAGCGGACACATGCGGAGGACCCACATGGTGCCAAGGCTTTCCCCGTGCAGGGGATGGATCAGGGCACGCAGCCGCAGAACCTTCCTGCCAGATGTTCCAGCAGGTAATGACACCCCCCTGGGAGGCCCTGTCTGCAGTCAGATGTGTAGGCCTCCCGCCTGCTTCTGCCCCATCAGCCAGTGGTCCGGGACACCCCATCCTTCTGAGCCTCTGCTTTCCTTTCTATAAAAATGTACAAATATCTGCTTGAAGGATTGTTTCCAGGAATAAACGAGACCATGTTTGTAAAGTGACAGAACTGACTTCAGTAGGGCCTCCATATGAGTCATGTATGGTTACTGAGCTTTGAGGATTTGCTGTGTTGTAAGTAGCAGAAAAGCTAGCTCAGACTGGGGGTCTCCTGGTCTTAGTGTCACTCGGGACTGGAGAGCTCATGTAGGTTTAAGGGTTCAGTAGCTTCACAGTGTCCTCATCACCCGCTCTCTTCCTGTCTTTCCACTCTATTTCCTGTGGTTCCAAGTCACCCCAGAGCTGGAGCTCTCACGTGGCCCTCAGCTTCACGTCCGCATGTTGTCCCCTGAAAGGGGCAAGCGCGTCCCATTCTGAGTTACCGGTCACATGCCAGCCTTTGAGTGATGACGAGGACCAAAGGAGGGCTTCACTGGGGCTCCAGCTGGCGGGCAAGGCGGTGCGGCCGGTGGGCTCTGGGGAGGAAGGCAGGGTGTCAGGTGGGCACGGGCCCATGTCTGCTGCAGCCTGAGGCCCAGGAGAGCCAGAGCGGACAGCACTCGTGCTGCTGGCCTCCCAGTGCACAGCTTTGAGGGTCCCTGTCATCCCCGCCGGGAGCATCTTGTCTGTGACGTCATTGCTTTAAGTCATATTCAATACTTCGGTTTAAAATGGTCTTAACTTCTCCTTTGTCAGCATGTCAGCATCTTTTGTTTCATAGCAGAGTAGATTTTAGAATATGAGAACCTCACTCGTACACATAGCATACACCCAGTTAATGTCTCAGTGGGTATTAAACGGGAGTGTCGCAGTGACACCTGCCTCGGGAAGTGACTCTGGAATCTCTCTTCTCACTTAATTTCCCAAAAGTCTGCCACCTATGTACATGTTCAGGTGTGCATCTCTGTCTCCGCATGTGAATGGAAGCCCCAGGAGGTGGGGTTGTCGTGTCGCCCATTGCTTGGGCAGGGGGCCCGGCGAGCACCTGCAGGGCTGAGGGGGGACCGACAGCTGCCTGCCCAGAGCACAGGAAGGCTGTTGAAGGGTCGTTAGCTTGGCTGCCTGTTTTTAGTATACGTCTGCCAGATAATGAACACATTTAAATTGAGGCCTGATATTTATAAGTCATAAACTAAGAAAAAAATCAGAAGTCTTGTCAGGAAAAAACATAATAACTTTTACTTTGTAAGCTACCTGTCCGCTGAACTGTAATTACTAGCGGTAAATAGTAACCAAGGCCGAATCTACATCGCTTTTCTATGGGATCTACGGTGAGTTTAGAAAGGAATGGAAACCGTGACCTAATTTTTTCCGTTGAATCCTCCTGTGTAAATTATTCTGATCTGATACAACTACCATCATGCAGAGCAGTAGGCCTCCAGTGTAGATGCGGTGTTGGCAGGCGGACGGACCTGGGGAGCTCTGCAGCTGCCCTTCCTCCCCTGCAGCTCCAGTCCATGCCCTATGACGAGCGGCCCCTTCCTGCCTCGCGGAAGCAGCCAGCAGTGGCCCTGGAGCCAGAAAAGAGTGACAGTGATGTCAGCGAGGCTCCCAGAGGAGGTGCGGCTGGAGAGCCGGAGCCCTTGACGGAGAAGGCCCTGAGGGAGGCCGGCCCCGCCGTGGACGTGCTCGGAGAGAGCCTGGTAGGCCGAGTGCCGAGGACGGGTGTGCAGAACGGGGAGGAGGCAGGCAAGGAGGTGCCCTCGGCTTTGTCCATGATATTGTTGGCTCCCTTTTGGCCTCAGTATTCAGTTGAAGTCTTTCAGTAATCATTAATTATACAAAACAGCAGAAACAGAAGCTAGAATTTAAGATTTTGTGAACGCGTGTTCATTTAAGACTGGGTGTTTCTGTCTAGTACTGACAGCTGGGATTGAAAATCTGCCCCTTTCTGGAACACCTGCCCATCCCAGGGGAAATGGTGGCAAAGCAAAACAGAAGATGGAAGGGTCTCCGTATGGAAATGAGCCCAGTGGGTTTTCCCCTAGTTCCCAGCTTCCCAGTATTTCTCTTGGCGGGACTTCTCATATTCCCATGTTTTACAGGTCTTCGGTATTCCACATTAGGAAAGGCACTTCCTTAAACACGCATACTTGCTCTGTCCCACAAGAGATTTTTCTCCATGTGTCGGGTCGCAGGGTGTTGGGCGGTGGGGTGGCATCACTGACGCGCCTGCTCTGAGTCAGGCCGGCCTCCGGGCTGTGGTAGGTCGCCGGGGCCTATTCCAAGACATGGTCGTACCGGGAGGACGCGCTGCTGGCCCTGTATAAGCGACTGATGGAGACGCCTGCTGGAACCCCGAAGGAAGAGCTGAAGAGCATGCTGCGCGCATCTATCTTTCTCGTGAGAAGAGCCCTCAGAGACATAGTGACCCCGGTGAGTCCCCTCTGTCCCCACCCCGGTGGCCCCGGGTGAGGTGCCTCAGGAAGTCGGGTGGCCACGGGGGTATAGCACAGTGTGTCACTAGGAAAGAAGGTTCTCTAGCAAGAAGTGTGGTCAGTGAAGAGCCCGCACAGTCTGTCCTCACCCGGCCGCGTGCCCTGCCCTTGAACGGGGTCAGCTTCCCCACGCCCTTGAAGCCAGGGTCTGCTGAGGCCCAACTCACGGGAACTGATTAAACGCTCGGTTTCTGTTTTTATTTTCCATGGAAGCTGAGGGGCTTGAGGTTATTCCTGGATTCCCTGGACTCTGAAAGGGGCCGCGAGAGTGAGCACGCCCCGGGTGCACACTGCCTGCACGTATGCAGTTAGGAGTGTTCGGGGTGTGGCCTCCAGGCCAACGTGGGGCTCTTTCCGACACTCAAGATGGGAGCACACGCCTTCTGTACACGAGGCGCTGCGTTTAGAAAAGCAGTTTTCAGTTCACCCTCACCAGCCCTGCTGGCAGCGTGGAATCTCCAGCATAACATTCACATTTGTTACTGGCGGTAAATGTCAGGCTTTCTTTGCTGAAATACAGTTACAGGAGCTCCTCTGTTTTTGCCGCTTTTTTCTTAGGTTTTTCAGGCTTCTTTGAAATTGTTGAAAATGATAATTACGCAATATATTCCTAAACACAAACTGAGTAAGCTTGAAACTGCTCACTGTGTGGAAAGAACCATCCCCATCCTGCTCACCAGGACTGGAGACTCTTCTGCTCGCCTCCGAGTCATAGCTTCAAACTTTATTCAGGTACAAATTTCACCATAAAATTTGAAACAGTAAATAATGAGCCCGTTACTACGCTATTTGACTTTCTGAGTACCTTACCAGGTTCTGTCTCTCCTAAGAGCGTTATTGATCCTCCTCATGACTCCCTGTCATTCTTGCCTGGTGCTCCGAGAGCTGAAGTTTGCCTTCGATTAAAGTATAATTTGACTTGTCTAGTATTTCTCTTCTTCAACGTATGCCAGTAACTTCTAGTAAAAATATATGGAAAACTAAACCAGAATAGAAAACTAGGGGTAAAGAGGTAATAAATGTGTAATGGCCTTAATCTAGATAGTTTTGTTCGTTCAGCAAACATGCCTCCTCCAGGCCAGGTATTATTGTGGGGATACCAAGAGAGTTCTGGGAGCTCTCCCCCTGAGTGAGGCCCGTGCTTCGGCTTCAGCAAGTCTATGGATTCCTCAGATTCTATACAACATTCTGTTGGGAAGGACTCCATAGCTTTCCTAGTTTCTCAGAGGGGTCATTTTTCCAGTATGAAGAACCACTCATCTCATTTCCTTTAACCTGAGTTCTGGGGGGAATGAAAAAGCAGTACATTATATTAACAGGAAGGTAAAAATAAGTGATGCTCAAGTCCTACAAGATACTCCCTCTCAGTGTGGCTCAAAATCTGGGGGAGGTGGCACCTTTCAAAAGGAACATTGAAAATGAGAGTGTGTCAGTCCTTCATTTAGTCATTTATGAAGAGAGTGAGAGGAAGGGGTGAGGAGGGGAGAGGGGGAGAGAGAGAATCCCAGGCAGACTCCCCGCTGAGCATGGAACCCAATGCAGGGCTCGATCCCATGACCCTGAGCTGAAATCGAGAGTCGGACACTCAACCGAGCCACCCAGGCACCCCCAAAACTGATTTCTTTCTATATTGCAACCCATATGCTTCAGCATTTTATCGTTCCTCTTTCTGTGTCTCGCTGCTTAAATGCTAAATACGTTAATTATAGAAAGACTTACTCGTTGGCAGTGGGACTTCACGCTCTCCCGTAAGCCACCAGCAGTCCCCATCAGCCAGAAACTGTGCACTGCTACCCTCTTGGCCAATCTCACAAAGACTAACACAGTACTCATTTGTTCTAGAATTTTAGAAATTAGAAAACCTTTTTCCTGAAGTGGGGAAATCCTGAGAAATGTAATCTTAAGTTTTAGATCACATTTCTTGTAAAGCTTTCATTTATCTGTGAGTGATCATGGTTTTATTTTTTATGATTTGGGGTTTTGTTTTTAATCATTATATCTTAAATAGAAATAATGAGGTTATTAGAGATAAATTATTTTACCGCTATTTTTTATTCCCTATTTTTTCCTTCGATTTTTACTTTAAGGATTATACTGAAGTATACTGAGTTGCCTCTAGCATTTTCTAGTACAAATTAACACAGTCATGTTGGTTTTTATAGGAAATGGCCTTGTTCAAGGAAGTTAGGTCTCTCCAAATTATTCCATCTTACCTGGTGCAGCCATTAAAAGCCAACTCTTCGAATCATCTGGCAATGAGTCAGATAGGCCTCCTGGCCCGGCTTCTGAAAGACCTGGGCACCAGGGGCACGGGCTTCACCATCGATAACGTGATGAAGGTAAGCGCACCTCTGGTGCCGAGCCAAGCACTTGAGATGAGCCTGGAGCATGGTGGGCGTCTAGTCAGTGTTCGTTGAATGAACGAGTGAGTGAATGACTTCAGAAAACCAGTCACTGTTTCATCTAACAAAGGCTTCCTGCTCCTCATTCCGCCGCGAGTCGGCACGTACGTGTGGACCTTGGTCCGTGGTGGCGGACAGACTAGGAAGAACCCGGTCGGTAAGAGCTGCAGTGTCACTGGGGATCAAGTATCTGGACATGTAGAGCAGCAGAAACGGACGACCTGATGAAACCACGGGCATCCTGGGAGAGAAGCTGTCTGCCAGAGCCAGGACTCCCCCCTCCCTAATTTCGAATGTGATGGAAGCGCACTCTGAGCGAGCAGCCGGCGTCGCAGCCGGACGAGGAGCTGCAGCGCCCTCACGACGGCGCGTTCTGGCGCAGCCCATGCATCAGCGCTCCGCATTCCTTCCTGTCCGCGTGGGAAGGGAGGGCCTCCCTTCTCCGTGGATTCCACGTGCGCATCGACTCGGAGACCTGGACCAGGTCCTCACGTAATCAAATATGCCATCAGGAAAGGCAGGATCATGTCAGGCCACTTCCACTCATGTGCTTTCTCTGCGGACGAATGATTTAGACTGAAGTCAGTAAGCGTTTCAGACACTCCCTCCCTAGACTTCTGGAGCTCTGCGCCCCACTTACCCCGCGCTTGGCCTCGTTGTCTCAGCCCTTCTGGTTCTTCTTCATCCTCCTGATCCCGTTAAGTCTGGAGTGTCCAGGCCTCCAAGCACACAGCTTCCCTCGCTGACCTCACCTGCGCCTTCCCACCCGTCCGTGGAAGACACAGTTTCTGTGCGTGCCCTCCCTGGACTCCTGGCTCCCCCTGCAAGCCGTGTCTGCCCCGCGTCCAGACGGAGCGCCTGCCCTCCTCTCTGACCCGCTCCTTCTCAGCCTTCCCTGTTGCCCCCAGTAAACAGCAACACCGTTCTTCTGTTGGCTTAGCAAATGCCGTGGGCTCTTCCTGCGAATATATCCAGACGCCGACCAGCCTCCCAGCTTCCCTGCTGCACGCAGGTCCAGCCCCCGTCATCACTTGCCTGGTCAGCCACTGCCAGCTCCCCAGGGGACTTTCCCTTCTGACTCGCCCTGCAGTCACATGGACCAGCCTGTGTCTTGCCTCCAAGTGCAGTTTTCTTGTTGCCCGGCACAGAACATGAAGCCTGCCCCACACACATGAATGCCCATTACCTGGCGCCCCGCTTCAAGGCGCCAGCCTTGGCGTCAGTCCCGGTGAGCTCTGCTGCGGCGGCGAGGCGCAGGGAACGTTGGTCACTCTCCCTTGTGGCCCATGCAGCTACCATGGAGAGAGGGTGCTCTGCCCCACGCCGGCCTTCAGGCCTCCACCTCCTTCCAGTAGGACGCCACCAGCTTTCTCACACGACTCAGAGATCACCGAATGGAGGAAGTGAGTGGAGGGTGGTGAGGGGGTCTTTATGGGCCGGGCCGCTCCTGCCCACCCTTCCCTGGACCTCAGCGCACGGGGCCAGGGGAGGCGGTATAGGCGTGCCTGGGGGGGCGGCCAGCCTGTCGAGCACGTAGCTGTATTTGTCTGTATTTGTGCTTGACATCACGCCTGCGTGCTGGAGGCGTTGGTTACTGCAGGAGCAAAGTCCCCGAGTGGCCAGTAGGACTGGACTCTGGTGTGTATGCAGCAGGGCTGGCTGCACGCAGAGCGGGGAACACGCATCCTCTCCACGGATGAGGTCCGCTCAGAGCCTGACTGGATAATGGAGGTTTGAGAGACAAGAAGGACGTATGAAACGCCCCCTAACATCTAAGAAGGTGGACCGGCCAGAAACGCCTCAGGTCAGGTCACTGTGCACTGCCCGGAGCCCCCGGGGCACCTGTCGTGGGCCGTCGGGCACGGGGCCAGTCAGCATGCTTCTCAAGGCTGCAGGCACGTGACTACACAGGAAGAAGGGGTCCCAGAAGTGACCTAGTGATGGACACATGGGGCCGGAAAGACTTGAGCGAGGTGACAGACGGGAGAAGACAGTGTTGGGTCCAGAGTGCGCCAGAGGTAGGAGGTGACCATCAGAGGGCGGGGCTCCTGGAGGCAGAGCCGTCGTCTGGGGTGAAACCAAAGGCCTATGGCTGAGGCTGCGGGAGGGGAGAGCCCAGCGCCCAAAGCCCCGCAGGCAGGTGTCAGTTTACTGAGCGTGGTATCGACAGCGTGGGATGGGAAGAACGTGTCATGGCACAACACTGTAGAGCAGCGGAAATGGATCGTGATGAACGAACGTCCTTGACAAAGAAATGTGGAGTAGGAGGAAAGAAAGTTTCAGAAAGATAAGCACAGTATACTATTTAGAATGTCAAACAAAAACCCCATGTGTGTACCCAGCGCGCGCGCACACACACACACGCGTGCACACGCGCGCACACACTTGCGCACACGCGCGCGCGCACACACACACATAAACCCCCGTCTGGGCGGGAGCGCACAGGCCTGCTTCAGGAGAGCCGTGCCCTCTCGGAGCACGGGAAGACCATGGGGCCCAAGGGGCTTCTGCTGGGACTCACACCATCACCACGGTGTTTCATTTCTTAAAGATCCAAAACAAACATGGCAAAATTATAACATCGCTTAATGTGGATGGTAGATGCGTGAAGTTTCTTATATTTCCTCTTCTTGGTGATTGGAATATTTTATAATATTTAATATGAAGTCTACAGAAGGATATAACCTAAAAAATGTTTGTTGGCATGTTAAATGGAAAAAAGCAAAACACAAAGTTATATGTAATCCAACATGAACTCCACTGCGTGTGTGAGGGAAACATGGTGAGAAAAACTCGGTGTCATAATAGCCAGAATTCTGTGGGTGTTGTTCTTTTCTTTTTCAAATTTTTATAATGTGCCTGTATTTCTTTTATGCTGGGGAAAAATAAACTCTGTTATTGTCAGAATCAGTAACCACAAGAACCCCTCCCAACTTTATGTTTAGTTTTCAGTGAGCACCCTGGAGCACAGAGTGTATGAGGTTCGAGAGACAGCGGTTAGAGTTATTTTGGACATGTATAAACAGCACCGGGCTTTTATTCTAGAGTACCTCCCTCCCGACGACAACACCATACGCAAGAATGTTCTCTATAAAACAATTTTTGAGGGATTTGCTAAAATAGATGGCAGACCTACAGAAGCTGAAATTAGGGTAAGTCAACTTTTATGAAATTATGACTTAATCCTCTATTGAAGTTACTTGGTCCCCGAATAAACCGACAGATTACTCAAGGAGCTTCCTGTGCAGGAAGCCAGGAAAACCTTGTCTCCCTGAGTTCAGATCCTAGCTCCTCCACATTCTGCCTGTGAGACTCTCAGTTTCCCCATCTGTAAATAGGAATAGTGACAGCCGAGAGGACATGTGTGGTTCTATCTGTCCGTAAACACTTATCAGATTAATTTGGTGAAGGTACTTTGATCCCAGTTATATTGTTAATCTTAGTGACTGTCATAACTTATGAAAAACATAATTCATATGCTGTAACGTTCTCCCAATTTCTAAGACTACCCTAAATAGCTGTTCTAATGAAAAAATAATTTTCATACCAGGCACAGAAGAAAGCAGCTACAGAAGAAGCAGAAAAACGAAAGAAAGAAGAAATTAAAGCTTTACAAGGGCAGTTGGCCGCACTCAAGGACATTCAGGCCGAAGCCCAGGTTGGGAAGGCTACCGTATCCTTCACCCCTGCGCGTTCACGGACGCCCTGACCGCTCGTCCCACGAGACACATGCACGGCATGCTTGCTTTCCTTTCACGGCATTATGTAGATGAGATCTGTAGGCTTTGTTGCTTTTTTAAAACTGGTTTGGGGTTACATAAAAGGAATCTTCCATCAGCTGGTTTGAATTAGATACTGACGCCAGGGAGTGGCGTGAGCTGCTGCTGCTGCTCAGAGAGGAAACCCCAGGGCTACAGGGCGGAGGTGGGGGACAGATTTCCTCTTCGGAGCTCCTAGCCTCCCTCAGAGGCAAAGGAGGAAAATAGCTTGTATGTGAAGATCTGATTCCCATGCGTTGAAGAAGGCAGGTTTCAGGGAAATGTTTCCCCTCAGGAAGCCCCTGGTCCTCAGCCTCTGGGAGACGCTGTCTGGGGGGTCGGAGAGTGACTGCCCTGTTTCTGGGATTTACAGCAATTTCACGACGTTTATTTTGTCATTCAGGTCCTTCAGTTGAAAGAAAAGGGGAGAGGGAGTGGGGAGGAGCTCATCACAGAGCATGAGGTTTCAGGGGTGCAGGAGGAGAAGGTTCCAGAGTGTGCTGCGCGGCACCGTGCCTATTGTTGACGGGACCACACTGCCCACCGCAGGCTGCTAAGAGGGTAGACCTCGCGGTGAGCGTTCTTGCCACGGCTCGAAGAGAGAGAGAAAACACAACTGAGTGGGTGTTGAAGTGCCTGTGGCCCAAAGTCACAGTGATGATTCGGGAGGTACTGGCAGCCGGGGCGAACAGGACAGGGCAGAAGGGCCACGGAGGAAGGGGTTTCCTGGGGGTGGGGCCTCACACCACGGGGTCAAGGGTGGTTTGGTTTTGTTTTGTTTTGTTTGTTTGTTTTTAAGATTTTATTTATTTATTTATTTGACAGAGAGAGAGAGAGAGCGAGAGCAAGAACACAAGCAGGGGGAGTGGGAGAGGGGGAAGCAGGCTTCCCGCGGAGCAGGGAGCCCGATGTGGGACTCGATCCCAGGACCCCAGGATCATGACCTGAGCCGAAGGCAGACGCTTAACGACTGAGCCACCCAGGCGCCCTGTTTTGTTTTGTTTTTAAGATTTTATTTATTTTGAGCAAGAGAAGGGGGGAGGGGCAGAGGGAGAGGGAGAAGCAGGCTCCCCGCCGAGCAGGGAGAGCCCAACACAGGGCTCGATCTCACGACCCTGAGGTCATGACCTGAGCCAAAATCAAGAGTCAGACGCTTAACCCACTGAGCCACCCAGGTGCCCCAATGGGCAAACAAATTTTTAAAACTAAGGTGACTTACCCCAAGGACAGACCTCTCAGTGGTTAAGCCAAGACAGCCGGGCTGTGCTGCTAAACCCCTCTCTCCTCCCCAGTGCAGCACCGAGCTGCAGTGAGCCCAGCCCCAGAGGCTGTGGGCACCACTAAGGCCACGCGCCCCCCCCCCCCCATAGATGTCTGTGGAAACAGTGCTGGGTAGCCTCCTCCTTCAGCTTTCCCGGAGCGCATTCGCCAGCTCATCTCCATTCATTACATGTTTGCTGAGTACCTGCTCTGTGCCAGGCACTGTGCTGGGCTCTGAAAATAAGCAGGGAACAAAACCAAGTCCTGTGCGCCCCACCCCACCCCCCACAGGGCCACTGCTCTAAGAGGAAGAGACAGTGAAAGAGAAAGCAACACAGGGTGGACCGTGGGGTGGGGGGCAGACGTGGGCCTACTGTCCTGGAATGATTGCTTAGGACGATGGAGTCTCTTTGTTGCTTTTATTGTGGTGAAATATTTGTAGCATACTTCCCAGTTTAACCATGTTCAAGTGTGCAATCCTGTGCCGTTAAGTACAGTCACAGGACTAGCACTGTGCCCTCCATCCAGCTCCAAAGCTTCTGGGAATGACAGTATTTTTAGATTGTCTGATTGCTCCCGAGTTTTAGAAAAAAGGATTTGAAAATTACTGATTAGTTTTCTAAGCTATTCAAAGCATCCAGCTTTCGGCATTGTTTACATTGTCTCCCTGCAATATACACAAACCCATCTCTCTGTCTCTTTTTTTTTTAAAGATTTTATTTATTCATTTGAGAGAGAGAGAGACAGGGAGAGCACGAGCAGGGGGAGGGGCGGAGGGAGAAGCAGACGTCCCCCTGAGCAGGGAGCCCGATGCGGGGCTCGATCCCAGGACCTGAGATCACGACCTGAGCCGAAGGCAGACGCTTAACCATCTGAGCCACCCAGGCACCCCCAAACCCATCTCTCTTAAGAAGAAGTTTTGATGCCTAAAATCCAGTCCTGCTGAGTTTGCTTTCTGTGTAGGCACATAAATCGTGTGAGCCCCGTGCCAGCTTCATGTTAATCTACTAACCCTCCCCAGCTCTAAGATTGTGTTCTGGTGTGTGTGTCCTGCTCCATGCTTGGCTGTGACGTAAGTCACTTACTCTGACATGAAGCTTGATTCTCTACAAATGCAGCAGACGGTACCTGTGTTTTTAACACATCCCTTAAATGCTACGTGTAGGGCCACCCACTGTCCCTGTTCTCTGAAACTGAAAGTCTAGGAAGGCCCTCAACCCCCCAACCCCAGGCCGGGCTGGTTGGTCCTCAGGGGTGCTATGAGGCGCTCACCACACAGTTGGGCTTTGTAGGGACGATGGCAGTGTTCAGAGAGCTAGGGAGGAGACGTGCTGACGCGGCCCCCAGAGCTCTGGGGCGGGGGAGAGCTGCAGCAGGAAGGCCTGAGCTCGGCCACAGCTTGCCACCAGCAGGGACGCTCTGCTGCTCATAAGGGACCCCTCTGCCTGCTCCACAGCTTGGCGCTCCCCTGCGTCCTTAGCACCCCAGACGCAGGGTGTCTGACACAGGGCAGGAGCCTGGCGGGAAGAGCGCGGCCCAGCCCATCAGACTGAGGGCTGCCTCAGCGTGGGAACGCTATGGCACGTTACCCGTTTAGTCCACAGGCGTGCTGGGGACAGTGTGCACCAGAGAACAGAACAGACAAGAGTCTCCTTCGTTGGGGACCCTCGCCTCTTTCAGGGGTGTCGGATGGTGATCAAGATACACAAGCGAGTGCGGAGCCCAGGAGGGGCTGCTGGCTGACACCTTGCTCTGGGGGGCCTCTCGGGGGGAAAGCCTAGGCAAGAGGAGGAGAGGGCCAGAGCTTGAGCACCAGGCCTTTGGAGGGACGGCTGGAGCCAGGTCACAGTAGGCGCTGCAGACTCGAGATGAGGGGACAGGTGACCTAGGAAGCTGGCTGAGGGTCTCAAGCAAAAGTAAATCAGCCTGCCGAGGCATTCACAGGCCCACCAGCCACTGCGTGGGAGGACCCCCAGAAGCAGGCCCCCAGATCTGGCAAGATGAGGCCTGGCCTGGGTGTGCTCAAAGTCCAGCCTAGGACTTGCTGGCGGGCTGGTGGAGGCTGAGTGGGGAGAAGGTGAGACATCGGAGGTCTCTCCGAGCGTGTGCCTGGGCTCTGGAGCCTGATCTGCAATGGTGCAGGCTGGGGCAGCGGCTCAGCCTGGTCTGGAAAAGCTGGGTCCTGGGACCCCCAAGGAGAGAAGGCTTGAACCCTTGGTCATCCGCACCGAGGGCTGTGAGCCTGGGAACCAGGAAGAGCGTGCCTAGCAGGAGGAGCCAGGAACGGGGAGGCGGCTGAGGAGATGGGGCTCCTGGGGTGCCCCAGGCATCCATGGAGAAGGGTGATGGTCACGTGCTGCCCAGAGCCCATGGGCGCTGAGGAGGGTGAGCTACTAGGAGGCGGCAGCAGAGACAGGAGCCCGTGGTGGGGCTTGTGAGGGGAATACACACATTTAGACGTTAACGGCTCATAGAGCTCTGTTACTTGCTGGTAAAAAGTCTGAAAACAGAAGAACTTATTTTTGGCATCAGAATGCGTCCTGGACAGACTCTCACTGTGCAGCCATCTGTCCCTGATCTTTCTGTTTTTGTTCTTAGGGGAAAGAAGGCCCCTCGGTGGAGGCGGAGAGTCAGGGTAGGTACTGGGCATGGGGACTGTCTGCAGCGGCCACCTCATTCCCTGAGCACATATCCAGGGAATGTAAGATTAACACAAGCAGGGGGAGGGGCAGAGGGACAGGGAGAAGCGCGCTCCCCACTAAGCGCGGAGCCCAACACGGGGCTCCATCCCACGACCCCGAGGTCATGATCCGAGCCAAGATCAAGTGTCGGACGCTCAACCACCTGAGCCACCCAGGCGCCCCTCAACTTGGGTGCTTTTAAATGTATTTCACATCAAACTGGTTACTAAAAATTTGAAAATAATTTTTACAGAAGGTTATTTTAAACGCTTTCTATTTTCGTTTCAGACACACAAGGAGGGAAAGCAGCCTCCCCGCCGGCCCCGGAAGCCCCAGATAATCACTATTTGGATAAGTGAGTAGAGGTTCTTTAGCCTTTGCTGTGAGGGTCGAAGGGCTTGCCGCGTGCAGGTGCCGCGGAGGAAATATTTTCTCGAGCGCGGCAGGATTACGTAAGCTAACTGGCTCTTCTCGGTCATTCGTAAAGGTAGGGAATGGCCCTCCGGACCGACGGGCGCTCCCCCAGCCCCGGGAGAGTCAGGATGCCTTCCCCGCTTTACTCCCAGAGAAGTGAGCAGCCCGTTTGTCAGAAGTGCTGTTAAAGGCACAGAATATTGTGACAGCAAAATACGTTTCCCTGTGCAGCCACCACGGCAAATCTACAGGAATTTCAGTAAAATATCTTTGTTCTTGTGACTTAAATAGTGTCTGTGCTTGATTATGCTGACAGTTTAGAATTTGAAGGGACCTTGAGCTAGTTTGTCACAAACACCCGCTCTTCCTACTGCGCACTAGCGCGCTGTCCCCCCGCGGACCCCAGGCCGCCCGCAGACAGGGGAGGCGTGCGTGTCTCTAGACGACCCCCCGTGCCTTTATCTCTGGCTTCTGTTCTGTTCCAGTTTGTGTATCTTCTGTGGGGAAAGGAGTGAGTCCTTCACAGAAGAGGGGCTGGACCTGCACTACTGGAAGCAATGTCTCATGCTGACGAGGTGCGCCCACTGCAAACAGGTCAGTCCCTGCAAGGACAGCCCGAGCTGCAGCCTTCTCAGAGGAAAAGACCTGGGGAAGGTCGCTGAATGGAGAGCCCCCTCTGTGTGTGCAGTTGGTGTGTTCTCACTGATTCTCACCGAAGTACGTAACGCGTACCTAAACGTGCACGCACACCGCAGAGTTCGCGTGGGTTCTGCTGCAGACCACCACAGGAAAACAAAAACCACACTAAAGCCAGTCAGTGACGTTTTGGGCTTCTCGGGGCACACACAAGTTATGTCCGCACTGTACTGTGGTCTGATACGTGTGTGACCGCGTGGCGTCTAAAAAACAACGTAAGTACTTGAAAAATACTTTACTGCTAAGAAGTGCTAGCCACCGTCTGAGCGTTCCACAAGCCCTACTCACTGACCGCAGGTCACCGTAACCAATGTGATTATAACGAACAAGTTTGAGATACCGTGAGAACGACCAAAATGTGACACAGAGACACACAGTGAGCAAATGCTGTTGGAAAAATGGCGCCAACAGCCTCACCCGCTGCAGAGTTGCCACAAACCCTCAGGCCGTAAACAACACGGTATTGACGAGGTGCCCATATACAGGTCAGAGGTGTTTGAGCCCCTGAACCCCCACAGAATTGTGCCCCCAGCTCCCCAGGCCTCGAAGCCACCGCCTCTCCCCCCAGGGTCACCACCGTCCCGATTCCCAGCACCACAAGTCAGTGTTTCTTGCTTTTTGAGTTTATATAAATGGAATCATACAAACTGTAATTATTTTATGTCATGTTAGTCTTCCTGCTTTGTAGCAGTCATTCTTTGAACAGTCTACAATTATCCCTCCATCCCACTGTTTTTGGAAATTGGCTGTGTCCAGTTTGAGGCTACCATGAATAATTCTGGCATCCGTCTCCCAGTGCGCCTGTGAAGGCACCATTTGGGGTGCACCCCGGGGGTGGAGTGGCTGGGCGTGCCCCCACTGGGCTGCGGGGCTGACGCAGGCAGTGCTCGAAGGGGCCACACGTCCACGCACCAGCCAGGGCGTGGGGGGCTGCTCCCCATCCTCACCACCTCCATGCTTTCTGCGGATGGTGAGGTGCGGCACCTGTCCATCCGTCCGTCCATCTGCTGGCTGCTCAACTGCCCTCTTTTAGAAAATACCTTCTAGTCTCTTGTTCATGGGTTGTTTTTTAAGATTTTATTTATTTTTACGAGGGAGAGAGAGAGAGAGCGGGGGGCGGCGGAGGCCAGGGGCAGAGGGAGAAGCAGGCTCTGCACTGAGCAGGGAGCCGGACACAGGACCCTGGGATCATGACCTGAGCCGAAGGCAGACACTTCACCAACTGAACCCCCCAGGCGCCCTCTGGTTCGCGTTTTAAAATAGATTGCCAGTCTTGCTCTACTGATCTGTGGTCATTCTTGCTGTGTCTGGACTGGAGTCCTTTGCCAGCCCCAGATGCCATAGCTGGCCTCTCCCGCTTGGGGTCCAGCCTGTCTGTCATCCTAATGTGTCATTTAAGTTTAACGTTGTCCACCTTGTCCATCTTTCTCATGGTTGACACTTCGTGTGTCTTGTTTAAGAAATCTTCTCCTACCCCCTAAATTTGAATCTCTTCTCTGATGCAGTGGCCTTTCTTTGGATAAAGGGGGAGAACTGAGAGAAGGAACTTCTTGCCTCTGCCTTGGGGCTCTTGCAAGCTCTCGCGTGGGCAGACCCCCCCATACCCTCAGGCAGGCAGTGCAGACTCTAGACCCCGATGGAGCTGCTGGCTTCTCCAGCAGGGTGTGTGAGTCTGTGGCATGAAGTTTCGTCATGCATATAAGTCACTCCTGCCAAACGTACCAGCGTGGCAAGGGAGTCTCCTACCACTCTTCCTGGGATCCTGTGCACACTACAAGTGTGAGGGAGCTGGGATTTGGAACCCAGAGGCCACACGGCTAAGCTGTTCTGTGGCTTACTACACGTGTCCCACTGGAATGAACCATCACTCCTCCAGCCTCACCCTTAGCCGTGGCCTTTAGGCGCTGCCACAGTAACATGATGAGAGGACACAGGGTGTTAAGCAGAGCACCAGGAAGGATGGCAGAAGCCCTTTGGGCTAGTGGGGTGAGGACTGAGCGAGGGTGCGCGAGCCCGGATCGTGCAGGCTGGCGGGGGCAGCACACACTGCAGTGTTCTCGGAGACATGCTTCCTTCTGCATTTCGGAATGCAGGTGGTGGAGATCTCCAGCCTGACGGAGCACTTGCTGACAGAATGCGACAAGAAAGATGGGTTTGGAAAGTGTTACCGCTGCAACGAGGCTGTTCTGAAGGAAGAGCTGCCCAGACACATAAAAACGAAGGAGTGTAACCGTGAGTGCGGGCTCAGGCGGTGCCCTCCATGTCCCTAGTGTCCCTGGCCTGGGGGGCCCCGCTGCAGAGGGGGTGTCCGGTCAGGAGTGTCCTGCTCCTCGTGCAGGTCTCACAGGAGGAACTAAATCTTGTCTTATTGACACCATTTCAGCTGCCAAACCAGAGAAGCTGGCAAACCGGTGCCCTCTGTGCCATGAGAACTTCTCCCCTGGAGAGGAGGTGAGGGCCTGACGTGGGCAGGGGGCAGGGGTGTTCGGGGAGCACCCCGGTCTGTTGCAGCGCTGCCCGAACAGTTCCTCTGTTTATCTGCCTGCTCAGGTGCCTTCCTCCTCCCGCAGCGCCGTGGACCCTCTGGGGGGCGGGGGGCTCAGCTCTTGGGGGGGTGAGTGTGAGGGGCCCTGGCCTCCGGCTGGCCTCTGCGCTCCTCCGCGTGCTGGGGCCCCAGAAGGCGTCTAGGCCAGACCACAGCACGCCAGTCCCCTCTCATGACTGAAGCCGAGCCCGGCACAGCGTGGAAGTCCCACCTCTCGGGTGACTGAGCCTCATGTGCCTCCCCCCGTCGGCCACGCTGGCTCCAGCTTAGTGCTCGAGGGGCAGGGCCGTCCATTCCCTCACCTCCGTGTGCCAGGCGGTGCGGGTTTGGAGACCTGCCTCTGCGCAGCCACTTCTGCCCTGGCCCCTTCACCACTGCCACCTGCCGTCCAGCTGTGTCCGGCTGCCGGGCTCTCCCTGTGCCAGCCCTCGGGGACGTGGTGCTGGCAGAGTTCTTTCTTCGTCCTTCTAGAACTGAAGTCCCTGCTTTCTTGCTGGCCGTCAACCAGGGGCCACCCTGCGCTCCTGGAGGCCACCCACAGCCCCGTGAGCTCCCCAAACCTACATGGTGGCACCCAGTCCATGACAACGCTCCGTCTGCTGGGTCGGTCAGGGGCTGCAGCTGCCCCTGGTTTCGGCTCTGGCGGAGCTCACCTCGGTTGCCTGGTTGACTCACTGTGTGCCTCCTTTGTTTCAGGCGTGGAAAGCTCACCTCATGGGCCCCGCTGGCTGCACAATGAACCTGCGTAAGACCCACGTGCTGCCCAAGGCTCCTGCTCTGCTGCCGGGTAAGGCCCGCGCCTTCCTGCACGTCGGTGCCCGCATGGCGGGGTCTCCGCTCTCCATTGTCACTCGGTCTTTGGGTCCTGTCTCCGGCTCTTAGTGAGGAGGCTCATTGCCTGACCAGAACTCTGTCAGCACTAGATGCTTTGCACGGATCCTGCCCTTTCTGCAGGCTCCCCAGCAGCGTCATGGAGGCAGCAAACCCAGCCCCCCGGGTGTTCTTAGGGTGCAGACCCTGTTCTCGGCCTCTTTCTGCATCACCAAACCAGAGTATTCAGAAACACAAAGTTAAATGTAGATTCACAGACAATGCCACTACCTGTTTTATAAATCATAATTTTCAATATTTTATGTCAGATTTAGAATGCCTTAGAGGAAAATATGGTATTTTTCATTAGAAAATTATTCCCAACCAAAACACTGTTGGATGCATAGCTTTATGTTTGGGGTGTGTAAAAGCAAGAGAGTCACCAACACGAGTGTGAGGAGACGTGGGTCCTGGGCTCCGTCCGTGCCAGGCGCCGTGCCGAGGGCTGTGCGCGGCTGACAGGGCCACCCCCCCCCCCCACAGCAGCCTCTTCCATAAACCAGGAATACGGGCACTTACGGGCACTTGGACGGGCCTGCCTGGGTTCCTCCGCCCGGAAACGAAGCTCTAGTCTCACGGCCGCCCCTTTCTTCATTTCTGGAGCTGAGCTTCTGAAGCCAGCAATTGGCAAACGGCTCCATTCTCTTCCCTCCATCCCTGACGTCGGGCTCCTCCTCTGAGCTTCTTCCTTCCTCTCGGCCGGTCCACGCGCACGTCCTCCTCAGCCAGTGCGGCCCGTCCTCGCGCCTGCCCCGCTCAGCCCGGGCCCTGCGGACGGAGGGGCCGCTGTGCCGTCGCCGCGGCCTCGCGCTCTGTTCGTGTCTCCGTCTCCCTCCTAACACGGTGCCTGTGTTTTGTGTGTCTGTGTGTCCAGCAGGTAAAGGCCCAGCCATGGCCAAATCAGGGACCTCAGGATCAAAGATTGGAAGCAAGATCCCAACCCCGAAGGGACTGAGCAAAAGCTCTGGCAGGACATACACAAAGCAGTGACATGACACACGTTCTGTCTCCTTTGTCCCCACAAGGGACAGAGCAAGTTTCCTGTGAACCACGTCTCCTAAAATCTGTCCTTGGACGTGGTGACCCGTCCACCGCCCCCGCTGTCCCTCCGCTCTCGGCCCCACTCGTCCTTACCTGTCGCGCCGGCTGCACAGCCGACCGAAGAACCTGCATCACGGGGCTAGGACCAAACCCTCCGCAGCTTCAAGCAGCCAGGCGTCTGACCTCCCAGCCCCGTGGGAACAGAAGAGCGTCCGTGTGTTTGAAGGGCACCGACACCCTTGCCCGGGTGGGTCAGGATGCGGAGGGTGTAGCGCGAGCACAGCGCTCTCCCCTCATGCGCTCGCCGTGCTTTCCATGAAGGCTTCACTGTGAAGCTGGCGCATGTCGGTCTCTCTCACACGTGGCAGAATGCCCGCCGGGCCTCGGCCCCCCCGGCAGTGGTAACCGGCCAGGCGAGGGACGGCATGCACGAGTCTCATCGGGCGCCTTCCCCCTGCCAGGCACGGTCTGCCCCCCCCTGCCCGGCGCACCGCCTCACCCGTGAACGCGGGGCCCGCGCTCCCCACTCTCACAGGTCACCGCGCATGGGTCCCCCTGCGGCACTCGTGAGGAACGTGGGGTCCGCGGCAGTCCCCCCGGCTCCGAGTCAGGGCTGTGCTCAGGGCGCTCACGTCCCCTACACGTGTGCAGCCCCCAGACAGAATTATGAAGTGACTGTCCCCTGATTGTCCTGAGCTCACCTGACCACACGTGTCGGTCGAGCAGCCCTCTCCTAAACCCTAGAGGCAGATGTGGCGTTGTGGACTCTGGCATGGAGTAGCTTCTACTTCATGTACCTCACAAGTGAGCCTCCAGCCCAGACCGCAGAGCGTCTGCCTCGGGCCTGTTGTGCTGCCCCTCACGCGTCTACGCTGGAATTGGGACCGTAAGTTGGTCCTGTGACACTTCAAACACCAAACACCACTTCAAATGAGGAACCCAGACCTCGCTCCTGGCCAGCCATCGGGCCCCCGGGCAGTGGGCCTGCGTACGTCCCCTGCAGGCGGCTGTGGCGACCAGCCCGTGTGCGTCAGCAGGCTGCTGGGAGGCGCCCCGGTGTCCCCCCGCGCGGGGCTGTTCTCCCCGCAGCCGAGCTTCCCGGGGACCCGAGGCGGCTCGCCCTTCCTGTCCCACCGTGCGGCCTCCTGAGCGTCAGCAGGCTTTCCAAACACCAGCGAGAACTGGGTGCAATGGATGAAATGTGGACTATATGATTAGTGCATAAGTATTCTGAGTTCCCAACCTTGTGAAACAACAAAGTGTATTTTAGAAAACCCCTAACAGCTGTTTGAGTGGTGTGCTCCCTGAGTACGTTCGTGACTGTGAATTTGCACGGCTCTCTCCATCCTGGGCGAACTAATACCTTCTCATACACAGCAAGAATAAGACTAAGAGAATTACCTTTAGAAACAATAACCAATTAAAAAATAAAAAGTATATGGGGAGAAATAACATAAACCTTCAGTGGACAGAGCAGAGTGCAGATGCCAACCGATGACCCACGAGCCTTCCTGGCCCGGGAACAGCGGCTCAACCTGCCGGCCCGTCCTCCACGTGCAGACCAGCCGCTTCCGTAACCAGAGCAGTGGTGACACGAGTTAGTGAAGGAACCATTCCTTCCTCTCCGATCAAAACTTTCAAATATCTGTGTCCTATTTTCTATATATTATAACTTATGTAACTTAAAAAAATATTTGTAAAAATACTTAATTTTAGTGATTGACAAAATCGGGTGCATTTAAGACCAGTTAGCGTTGTTGGTTACAGAAGAATCGTGCACTGATGTTGAAATGATCCCTAGCAGTGACTTGTGGCTACTGAAAGCCTTACAGAGTTATAGACTATTAAGGAACCACAAATAAAAGATAAAAAATTTGGAAGGAACTGTAAGATCCCTTGGCCATTTATAAACAAATATGTAAATTTGGAACAGAAATTAATAATTGACTTTTCATTCCTGAATATGTTGTGGATATTTAACTATTTATTTCTATTATTTTCATATTTCAGAATATTTTATCAAGCTAATTTAAAAAAATGTGTATAAATTTGGCGTCAGAATACACATGTAAATACTTTTAATGAAAATTTGCAACTTTTTAACGTTTTAACATAGTTTTCTATTTGTCTTTATTTCGGGTACCAGAATTATAATATCTAATATATTTTTGTTGTTACTTCTGGGGCTAGGGGTCACTTCACCCTGAGCATATGAACATAATAAAAAGATCACTAAAAGAGCGTTTTGTCCCTTTTATTTCAAGATTAATATTAAAAGGCAAACAGAGTGTGGTCCACTCTGGCACACAGGCTGGGGGCTCGGCCGGGGGAGGCGCAGAAGGGACAGAGCCCGACCCCACGATGCGGGGTGTGTGTGGACATGACCTTCCTGCTGAACAAGCTGAAGGACCGTCAGCTCCATGTGACTTGGAGGAAATGGTTGCCCAGCTTTACCCTGTGGGAGGAAACCGGAATGTTCCTCAGACGGCCCCACGGTGCCCACTGGACGTCTCCACGCTCGGCCCCCTTGGCCAGAGGGACGGCGATCTTGCTTTCAAATGAGTAAAAAGGCAGTATTTTCTCTGTTCATGTGTGGAGTGACTTTAAGCTTTTAGCAGTTTGGGGAATTGTAAAATCGCCTCCATTTTGAAGCTGTAATGTCCACGAATACAGAGTAATGTAAAGCTGAGGGCACTGCGGTTTCTACGGGACAAGGACTTAGAGTGTTTTCTCTTGTTTGGTGACTAGGGCGCCTCATGGGGGAGGAGCCAGGTGCGCCGCAGTGTGTAGGACGAAGGAGAAGCGCTCCACTCACCCCTGCCCAGGTGCGGGAGGAGGAGGAGCCCTTCCTTCCGTGGGCTGCTGGAACTGGGTGTTCATTTGTGCCGATGAGTATTTGCTCCTAAAAACCAGGTCCACTCCAGAAAGCTGAGCGTGTGGTGGTGTGTGCGCAGAAGGCTTCCTGGCTCTCAGCCGCTCCAGGGGGCCTCCACCCACCCTCCCCATCAGCTGGGCTGCGGGCTGAGCCCCCTGCATCTGCAACGCTATTGGGAGTAGTGACCCTCCGAGCTGCTCCCCTTGGGGTCTTCAGAATGCTCACGAAGACCACGTGGGGCCAGTGAGGTTATCCTCAATGGCAGACAGGGATGCTGGCTCCCTGGAAGGCAGCAGGCCCAGATGAGAACCCTGGATCTTGACAGACCCAGGAGGCCTGTGAACAACAGCTCATCCCTGCCTCAGTTTGCCCTCTATGGAGTGGAGCCGAGGAGAAGGTGCTGACGAGGCCCAACCTGGCCAGTGGGTCTGCAAGTTTGGGGAGGGAGCCCGCCCCTAAGCTGAGGGGCACCCCCCAGCCCTTCATCCCTCATTAGGCTGTACCTGCAAGGGGTAGGGAGCAGGGAGACTGAGGCACGGACCACCACCTGCCCAGAAGGCCTCAGGCCTCCACCGAACTTCCCAGGCCCCAGGCCCACCCACCTGAGCCCGCTAGTGCTGGGATTGCAGGGGAGGGGCAGGGAGAGTGGGGAGGACAGAGGTCAGACACCTCGTTGGGTGGATTTCCTCGTGCACAGAAGGAGCTCATCCCCAAGCAATGCCCTTTTGTGACCCTGGTCCTGCAGGTTGCGGACTCACCAGGAGAGGCGTCCCTGGTTCCTCTCAGGGTCCTGGGACCAGTCCGGCAAAGGGAGGGGTGCAGTGTCCTGCCTGAAGGTGGGGGACATTGTGGGAACCACTGCCAGGGTTCTGGATAGAGATCTTTCTCTCCCCGTGGGGTAGGGAGCACCTTGGGGGTGCTGTTTACACAAATTCCGGGATCCTAGAAGGGGGTGGAGGGTTCCCTGGTGGAGGGGGCAGGGGGCGAGCCTGCAGGTGTCCAGCTCCAAGCATCAGCCCGGGCGGGGCCAGGCCAGGAGCAGAGCCAGGGACAGAAAAAATCACCACTCATGTTCTTCCTACTGAAAGTTTTAAAAGTTTTGCTTTTTAACACTGCCATCTGTAACCTACTTGGAGCTGTTTTGTATTTTCTGTTCCTGAATGAGACAGAAACTTGTGAAACAAGACACAAACACAGCAGCTGAATGATCAATCATTTGACTCTATTATAATCATGAAGTCTGTGTCAAAAGGCGCGTCAAGAGGCCTTTACAGAAATAGAAAACCGGAAGAACACATTTATTTACAACATGCAACCAACAAAGAATTAGTACCCAAAAGACACAGGGAATTCCTACGCATCATTAGGAAAGGGCCAAGCAGGCCTCTAACCTGGCTTTGTGAGTGCAAATAGGTAAGTGATTCCAGAACACAGCACTGCAGCGTTCTGCAGCTGCAACAAGTTACCGCGAGTGCAGGGACTCATGGCACATGGGAGGGACTAAGATCGGGGCTCAGCCGGGTGCAGGGCTCCCGGGGGGAGTCCACCCCTCGCCATCCCAGCTTCCAGAGGCCCCCACTTCCCCGAGCCCAGGGCCCCTCTGTTCAAGGCCAGCCACGCACCCCAACTTCTCACGCTGCCATCCCTCTGGTCCTCGGTCTCTGCCTTCCTCTTCTGCTTTAAGGACCCTGTGATTTCACTGGGCCCACAAGACCATCTCCCCGTCTCAAGGTCCGTCTGCAACTACAAGTCCCCTGTGCCATAAAACCTACTGCGTTCACAGGTTCTGCAGACTCGGGCATGGACCTCTCTGGGGGCCGTCACTCTGCCCACCACACATGTAACAACACAACACGCCTAACGTCTATTTCGCTTTTCAAAAAGGCGCCCACCACCTGGAAGATATGCGGAAAAAGTTAAACAAAGATTAGTGATGGCGATACCAGAAAAAAAAAAAAGAACAATACTAGCGTATCGGTGTTTATTTCACATAAAAACAGTATTTTCACTAAAAATGGTTCACAATTCATATGCTACAAATACCAAGGCAACTTAATATCCAATGCATTTAAAA